CGTATATAATAGCCAAAAGCGTTAGAGGGATGACAACGCCAAGGGTTAATGATATGACGTTAAATTCTTTCCCTTCATAAAATCTTAGAAACTTTCTCGAATGGCAGAAGTAAGAATTATTCCTAGTCTCTAGGTGCCGGTTAATAAAAACGGTTGTAGGACTAATTAGCGAACATGTCCACAATATCAGAAATACTCTCTTTATGTTTCGAAAAATGGGCGTCCTATCCAAAGGTCGAAATACTGCGTAGAAGCGATCGACAGCAATTGCAACGAGTAGAAAAATAGAAAAAGATCTGAGGACATAAAAGCTTGCAAGATATAACTTGCAAGTAATGTGACCCATGTTTCCTCCAACCACAATCCATGATAAGAACTGTTACGAAGATTATCCATCAAATGCATGAATGGAATGAGAAGACCAGCGCAAGCTTGGTTTAAAATCAAGTAATTGATTGCAGTCTTCATGGAAGGGACTGTTCGTATAATGTGTATAAGGAAAGAATTTCCAACTAACGACACTAGAAATATTGTCCCGTATACAAAGTATGTTAGAAAATCCGTCTCTACTGTTTCTTCGGTGCTCGTTAAGATAGAGTTGAAGTTGAAGTTTGATCGATTAGTCAACATGGTCCTTTTCTCTGAGTTGATTTTAGAAACTCTTTTTGTAGTTATTTTCCATGTTGTTTTCTTGTTCTTATTTTTTTTCCGATATCTGGATTGTAGGGACTTCAGAATCCGTTTGAGCCACTTGCTTAGTCACTGCTTTGTTCAGGTGTTCGGAAAAATAATTTTTAAGGTGGTATTTTTTATGTATGTTTGATATTTATTTGTATTTCATTTCTCTCATGCGCCTGAATTCATCAAAAGAGCCGCGGAAACATTTTTTTTTAATCAAAACATCATCATAAAAATAATGAGATCATCAAATGAGTTGTAGATGTTTGTGAATTTCCATTAAAATTTAAAATTTTCTATGTTTATGCTTTGAACAATGAGCCCCATCTTAATTAATGGAATGAGAATGTGTCTTGACCTTATACTTGCTCTCGTTTTGGGCGTCAATAACAGCATTTTCATTATTTCTCCAGGCACCTTATCGCGTCATTCGTAGATTCCTTGTTGACGAATCCTCCGTACAAAATTAAATTTCAGTTATCAGAATTTTTCACACATATCAGAAAAATACATCAAGTTCTCTTAGTTTGATTTATCGTAAAAAAAACAACCTGAAACTTTTACAGCGATTTTTTTCTTAAATGTTAACCACGCGAACAAAGTGTGTTAGCATCATTCCCCTTAGGATCAGATGCGGCATAAATTATCGCGACTTGTTCAGTTGTTCCTTGTTTCCTCGGCCGGTCGCATGTAAATTTTGATCCGGTTAACCATATATAAAGAGGGTAAATTAATAACAGCCACCTCATTCCGAGATAATCAGCTAGCTGAAGCTCGAGATCGTTACGCGTGCGCAAAAGAATTATACAATGAGCCTTCGTCCCTGTATCGAGTGCAGAAATGAAGTTCGACCACGCCAGCAAGCCCTTCAGTGCGACGATTGCGGCTTTTGGCAGCATCGTATCTGCGGGACTGGTATCGACCAAGCCACCTACCGTTTAGCAATGATCAGAGGAAGAATAGATTGGTTGTGCGTTGCATGTTCTCTTTCGGCATCCGGTGGATCAACACCAACGCTTGTCCACCCAGTTCCTGGAGCGTCTACGGACAGCCTGTCCGTACCAATAATGATATCGAGGGATGGCATAACTCCCTCAACCGACGCGCTGGTGGTAGAGTTCATCTACCTTTCTACCTACTGATTCAGCTGCTTCACCGAGAGTCCTCTGTGTGCACCGTCCAAGTTCGACTCGTCAACGCCAGAAAACTGCAAAGGATCCAGCGTAAAAAATATCGCGCACTTCAAGCATGAATCTTTGGCTACTGGGAGGACTACACTGCGAGTAAAATTTCAAGTAGGCAACTCCTTAAAGCATGCTCTCACTTAGCACATGGACCACTTCGTACAGATTAGTTTTCTTTAGTTTTTGCTCGCGTTTAGGAAAGTAATGATA